GGGGGGGGGGGGCCCCCCCCCGCCACAGGTGCCACTCCCAGCCCTGAGCCTCTCCTCCTCCCTTCTTGTGCTTTCACTTCTCCCTCCCAAGTTCTTTCCCCGTCCCTCCCCAGTTACATTCACCCTAATGAAAATAAGAGTCGATTATTTCCGAACAAAAAGTGCAGTTTACTGTCTCTGCAAGGGAAGGAAGAGGGGTGGGAAGAAAGGCATAGAGGGACAATGCACAGGCCTCTTGGGGTGAGGCCTACAGGGGAGTGTCACTGCGGTCCTTAGGAGAAACTCTCCCTCAGGGCCTCATGGATTTGCACAGCTCCCTGATGGGCCTGCCGATCCAGTCAGACTCTGTCCCCCACCCTGGTAGGAAATTCTCCTCCTTCCTTTCATAAAGGTTGTGGAGATCACAACATGCTGCCACCACCGGGGCACATTCCACTTGCCAAGGTCCAGCTGGGTGAGGAGGCAAGAGAACCTCCCTTTCAGACACCTGAAGGCACCCTTCACAACAACAGACCCTGCTGAGCCTGGCGTTAAAATGTTCCTTGGTGGGATACAGGTGTCCAGTGTAGGGCTGCGTGAGCCAGGGGAGCAGAGGGGAGGCTGCGTCCCCTGCAACACAGACCGGCATGTCTACGTCCCTGACCCTGATGGTGCAGTTGGGGAAAAAGGTGCTAGTGTGCATCTTCTGGAACAGGCTGGAATTTTGGAAGACACATGTGTTGTGACTTCCCCAACCACCCGAGTAGATGTTGCTGAGCTGGCTGTGGTGATCCACCAGGGCCTGCAGGACCATCAAAATGTATCCCTTGCGGTTAATTAAGATCTTTCATGGGCCCCTGCCTTTCGCACTTAGAGTGCCAAAGTGGGGAATAGCCCTGACAGATGTTAACATGAAGGGGAAAGGAATCCAGAAGAGCTGGCTGTGTTTTAAAGCAGTCTTATTGAAGGTGCAGGCACAAACCATCATGATGTGCCCTTAAAAAAGCAAAGATGGCAGGTGACTAGCTTGGCTTAAGAGTGAAATCCTTGGTGAGCTTAAACACAAAAAGGATGCTGACAAGAACTTGGACAGATGACTAGGGAGGAGTATAAATATATTGTTCGAGCATGCAGGGGTGTAATCAGGAAGGTCAAAGTGCAA